CACACGCGCACACGCGCACACGCGCAAACGCGCACACGCGCACACGCGCACACGCGCACACGCGCACGCGCGCACACGCGCACACGCGCACACGCGCACACGCGCACGCGCGCACACGCACACACGCGCACGCGCGCACACGCGCACACGCGCGCACGCACACACGCGCACACGCACCCACGCACACACGCACACACGCACACGCGCACACACGCACACACGCACACACACACACTCTGAAGTGCTAAATGCTAGATCCGTGAACCTCAGCACGTGGCCCAAGACATCCTCCGAGACGCCGTTGATCCCCACGAGGATGTTGTGAGCGAAGCTCGTGAGTATCTGAATGCACGCACTGACAATCATCAGCAAGCAAGCTTGTCTCCAGGAGAAGCTATCATCTCATGGAAAGCAAACTGTTCAGACCCACATGTGCGCGCCCGCTCGTGGCGGGCTTGAGCGCCAGCCTAAACCTGGACAGCTGCTGGCGGCGGTGCTGGGGTCGGCGCAGGCAAGGCTCGCGCGGCACTGGCTGCAGAGGTGAGCTGAAAACATGCGCGACGAAAGCACTGAGAAAACACACGCACACGCGCACAGACCGTCCCAATACTTCTGCAGGGAAGGATTTACAAGCCAGCAAACCAAAGAACGCGGGTTCAGGTGAGCCAGTCAGGCCCAGGGGCCCCAGCGGGTGACCAGGGGCCCTCGCGGAGCTCGTGCCCGAAAGGCCTCGGGATTAAGAATGCGGCACAAGCTGCAAAATATTACTGAGGGCTCAAGGCTTAGGGGCCCTCAGAGCAGGACGGCGCGGTGGAAGGTGTAGGCGTGGTGCCCCGAGCAGTGCTACCCAACTTCTTCAGAACACCTGGGAACTACTACCAGCATATTGTCACACGCTAATGAATGCATAAGGTTCTGGCTGTCTGATTGTTAGATATGAAGTGAGTGTGCCACGGCCGCCCATATTGAGCTCACCGCAACACGAGTGAGCCATCGGGACTGGACCAGTCGTCACTAGAGAGTCTGTAATTGCCGCTGCTGCCATCGGAGCAGCCGCCTCAAAACCTGCTTTCCAGCGACCCCCCCGCTGGACTCCGAACATCGATGAGGCGACCCAAACCACCAAAGGCTAGGGGGAGAGCAGAGAACATCGTAGTCATTACATGCTCGCAGGCAAACTCGGTGACCTGGCGAAGTTGCTCCACCAACAGGCCGGCTTGGTAGGCTGTCCAGAGCGCCAGAACACACAGACTCAATGTGATGCACGGCGCGAGTGGGGGCAATAACGAGGGTAGAGATCGAGGGGCAAGCTTTCCCGTCGGTGGTGAGGGAGTAAGAGTAGACCCAGTAGCGGTGCCTGAGTCCGTCGTCGTCGCCTCCAGGCTCCTCGGGGTAACCGTTCAGGACAACCTAATCTGCTGGAGGGGGTCGGGTGCCCACGATCCTGCATCCGTCAAGTGAGCGTAGATCAACTCACCAATATTTTTGAACTGGGCAGTTTTTTACCTGCTCCGAAGTCGCACCAAGGGAAGTCAATGTTGTGCGCCACTGCACGATCCCCTTGCACGTCTGGACGGTGCTCCACCACTCGCCGTAGGCGATCTTCGTGTCGTTGTCGAGCGAGTCGGTGGGCTCGGTCATGTCAGAGCGGGTCTTGCCCGCGCCCAGGTAGCCGATGAGCTCTATGTGCATCGTCTGGTTCACGAGGCTGCCTGCCAGCGGGTCAGATGACAAGAGGCCGAACTCGCAGTCGTCGGCGGCGCCCCCCTCCCGCTTGGGACCACGGCGGCCGCCTTTCCCACCAGCGGTGGTCCACGGAGAGGAGGGCTCGCGTACAGCACGACCTTCAAGCAGGGCACGAAGCGCACGGCAGTCGTCGGCCGTCGTCTCCGAGGTCTTCTGTACCTCGCCAAGCTGGCGACCCTGGGCGTCCACCGTCGTGGAGAGCGTGCCCATCTCCGTCCGCAAGCGATTGAAAACTCCACTGGCCTCCAACGCCGCCTCGAACGTGTCCGAATCGCGAGCCGTGCCGCCAACCGTCGTCGAGAGGCGGCCGATCGTCGCCCGAAGGCGGCTGTCGCCTGGCGGGTGAGCCCCCTGCTGGTCGCGCTCCCGACTCTCAAGGACGGTGGTCGCGGCCCCGGCCATCTCGCGGGCTGGAGGGGTCGGGCTCTTGGTCGGCTGGACCGAAGGCTGGGTTGAGTTCGCGGGCCGCTGCTGCTGCTCGACAGCTGCGCTTGGGCCAGGGTCTGGGTTGGCTCCCAGCGGCGCCTGTTCCATGGGCCCATTCATCTGCCCCACCATATCCACGAAGGACTGTTGCTGCGGGACTTGTTGGGGCCAGTTCGTGCGCCCCCGCGCGGCGAGGGGCGAGCGTCTCGCCCCCGCCCTTGCCGCGCCAGGGGCGCCCACCGAAGTGCCCTTTCCCACCAGAAGACATCCTGCAGCAGGAACACAATGGGGCTGGTGGCGTGGAGGTGGGGGCAAGGCTGTAGCGACCTCGTTCAAAATAGAGCCAAAAGGTGCTCTCGTCCAGGGGCACTATGTGAAAACAACATTGGGCAGGGGCTTCGCGGGGCCCAGGAAGGAATGCATCAGCCCATGGACGTTTAACATGGTGGGGGTGGTGGCCGAGGCGGAAGAAGAACAACGTATCAATACAGATCAGGACCATCCAATCATCAATAGTCAGGTCATAAGTGCCCCACCTACCTTTAAGCTCACCCCGGAGTTGTCCTAGAGCGCGCGCAGAAAGAGGGCCGAGAAGGGGTGGGGGCGCTTTCTTCTTGCAGTGTTTGGGGTCGCCCGTGATTGCGAAGGCCTCATTCTTATGTGTCGTGAGCGTGCGTACGCCTGTATACGATATGCGTAAATCAACTTCAAGATATGACGCGACCACCGTACCACACCCCAAAGGAGCTTGTGCAGGCTCAATGTTGAACTTCACAATGCCAGAATACACGTCGTGCAGAATCAGACCCAAGCAGGTGCGACAATGCAGGTTTGAAAATAACAACACATCGTCGACGTATCTACCAGTGCAGAGTTTTTGTTTTCTGTTCTTCCATTTCATATCACAATGCCACTCTTGTTCACTAAGTGCAGCGTGTAATACGTTACCCGAGAGAGGTCCTCCTATTGGTATCCCCTTCTTTTGTTCCATGCATATGCCCCCCAGCCTAAAGAAACGCATACTCATGAAACCTGTGAGGGCTCTCTTCACACTGCTAAAATAGAAGACCACGCGATCCCACAGACGTCCCTCGCAATGCCCGCCAAGACGACAATCGGGCCGTCGGGTACGAAACGCGGCTACAGCCCCTAAAAATCGCATCCAAACGGAGGAAGAGGCGATCCAAGCAATTCCAGGTCAGGGGAATGGGCATATCTTCATACGCCTGTCCAGCGTCTGCCACAAGCACTCCAGGGCCTGACATCTCACGTCCACAGCGCGAGCAGCAAGAGGAGCGGAGGGGAGGTGACAGAACTTTCGCCTCACGGGCCAGACGCGGCACTGCAACTTCCAATGAGTCAAAGCTCCATCCTGACCCGGCTAGATCACACAAGAAAGATATGCACGACCGAACAGTAGATGAAGATGCCGTGAGGGTAGACCGATAAAACTACATATATTTCTCATACATGAATGCGAGGGATCACGTCATTGGCGGCGGCATTCAGGGGGGCACTCAGCATCTCCAAGCCAAAACTTTAGCTTGATGGTAGAGTAGATGTACGGGATTTTGTCGTACGTAAACTTACCGTGAAACCGACCTCGGAGACTCTTGGGTACAGTACTGTCGTATACGAAGCGATACAAGGTGAGGACGTGGGAGAGGGGTGGCGGGCAGCGGCCCCATCGGGATTTTGCGCGGCTGAGCAT